GAATCTAATGCTCACTAGTGACTGGCCCTATTCAGGCAGTTAACCTGGGGTTCTAGTGGGAAGCCGTGACCAGTAGGGTACAGCAGGTTGGAGATGAGGCAGTAACTCATCGAAGACATTGCGAAATGGTCGCGCTATGTCGTGAATTGGCAGAAGTTAGAATTCAAGGATCATTGGATCGGGTCCCAGTGACTCAATGGTCTACGAGCTCGCCTTGTAACCAGAAGGTCCTGGGTTCGAATCCCGGTGGGTGCGTACTGCTGATGAGTCCCAAACTAGGACGAAACAGCTGTCCAGTACTCCCAGCTGGTTTTCCAGTGGTTCTCTAACTGATGTCAGCTCATGATGAAATCCTCCACGCAATCAAATATAATTACGACTGTGTACAGCAGCTTATCAAAATGAATCGTTGAGAAGAAAATTGTCTCCGCTGTTTACGTCTTTTTCTTATGACTCAATATGGGAATATTTCGTTCATTGAAATTAAGATTAGTTGGATGGAATGTGATAAATAAATTTAGAAGGCTGTATTCACATCAGCTGTATGCTCACTGTCTACAGGGTGTGCTAAAATGGAGCTACGAATAGATGTTGTTTGTCCCTTGATTAACCATGCAGGATGACGTTGAGAAATACGACGGTGAACCTTGCTAATTGTATGCCCAATTTATCTGGCTGAGCAAGAGCATTGGAAGGACAGAAAGAAGGGCCTTTATCCGGTTAGATGAATATATTCCAAGAATCTTGCGCCTGAAAGGAAACAAATATTCTCAGTGTGCAATTACCAGACATATTGTTGATACTGGTCATCTCCTAGAGATTTCTAAGTCGTTCAAAATATTAGGTAGACAAAGGAGAGCAAATTTACTACAATTTGCCGAAGCGATCGAAATCAAGCGATTCAAACGAACCAGACTTATGCATAAAGAAAGAGAGTGTGATTAATCTCTCACTCCGTGTGGTAACTGAATTTTGATTTTGATTACATTAATTAGTCATCTAATTCAATGATCTCAACTCATTGAGCAAATCTCAGTTTTGGAGTTGCTATGTGAACCTACAAGCTAACACTGCTTGTTAATTTTTTGTTTGGTTGCATGGAGGATTTCATCATGAGCTGACATCAGTCACAGAACCACTGGAAAACCTGGGAGTACTGGACAGCTGTTTCGTCCTAGTTTGGGACTCTTCATCAGCAGCAGCACCCACCGGGGTTCGAACCCAGGACCTTCTTGTTACAAGGCGAGCTCGTAGACCATTGGATCGGGTCCCAGTGGCTCAATAGTCCTGGGTTCGAACCACGGTGAGTGCGTACTGATGACGAGTCTCAAACTGGGACGAAACAGCTGTCCAGTACTCCCAGGTTTTCCAGTGGTTCTGTGACTGATGTCAGCTCATGATGAAATCCTCCATGCAATCAAACAAACAAAAATCCCTGCAAAACCAATACTTGGAAATGTTGATTTTTTCTGTTTTCTGTCTGACCCCTCACCCGCTGTTTTCTTCATTGAAAGCGTATAAATTGATGATGAAAACTTAAACTAAAAATTATAATGCCTACATTTTGGATGTGTCAATTTTATAGCATTTCTTTCTTGTCTACTACCACTTAGACATTAAAGTATGTTATTATCATCTATATATAAGCATTGTAATTTCAGGTAGTCTGCAACTGATGAGAACCCGTGAAATAGAATGATATTATTTTATGCTGCAAATATGGTCTTTCTTTCTCTATAGAAATTTACCAAGGTGACTAAATGCATGGAATGTTTTAACTGAATTCTTCAGGTGCTGTCATCACCGAGAAACTGTAGTTTTATGAACAATGGCTGTGATTTTTGAGCTGTTGCCTTACTGGCCTGCTTTGGTGTTAAATTCACATTTTTTCTCAAGGAATTTATCTGGATTACTATGCTTATAAAGTAATTCGGGGATATTCAAGTGTTGGTTTGTAGGGATTTGATTGGTTACAGGATTTCATCATGAGGTGACATTAGTTAGAGAACCATTGGAAAACTAGCTGGGAGTATTGGACAGCTGTTTTGTCCTAGCTTTGGACTCTTCGTCAGCACGCACCCACCGGGATTCGAATCCAGGACCTTCTGGTTACAAGGAGAGCTCGTATACGATTAAGCCACTGAGACTCGATCCAATGGCCCATGAATTCTAACTTCGGGCATAATCTTAAGCTCCTCATTTACAGAATCATTTGAGTAGATTAGTCTAGCTTTATAAACTAAACACTTTACCAAGTTCCTTTTATATATTTCAAAAGATCTAATTAAATAGTAGATATTTCGCTCAAACCTTTCGTCTTCTAAATGTCTTTATGGAAAACTTTTCCATTTTATGCAATTATCAATGATTAATCGTTCAGTTCAGTTTTGATTTTCCCGTGGATTGATCAGACCGAAATGTTCAGCGCCTAGTACGCACACATCAGCAACATCTGAGAATTTATATGAAGCAGATTAGTAGATGATGACTAGCAGTGGAATACAGAATGCGAATTTCGTCCCATTTTGAACTCGTCAGCCAATGGGTGTACCTGCATTCCCAGTGAGTGAGTGAGTAATGGTCTCCCCATGGAGGCTCAGACCCAGTACCCATCGTTTCAAACGCCAAAGCGTTATTCACCAGATCACTTGATAAATATTAATTGACATCCATTGCTTAAGAGGTGGCTCTCGTGGCCCAAGTGATTAAGGGGAGAACGCTTTGCCGTTTGAAACTATGGGTACTAGTTTCCAGCCCCAGTGAGAACACCGTCACTCACTAGGAAATCCAGGTCCATCTAGACCATAAGTGCCAAATAAGAAGAATTCACCATCCTGAATTCCACTGCTAATCACCGCCCACTGAATTATATCAGTTATAAAGTCTGTGTATATGGAAGTCAGATGCTTAAAGAGGCTTCAGAATTCTTTAAAGGTGAACCCAGTCGGAATGAAAATGTAGGTAAATTAATTGGCTAATAAAGATAAAAATGCACGACGAAGTTGACTGGAGTTACCTCTAGTGAGATGTCGTGATCAGTGGGGTCGACCAGGTTGAGAGTGAGAAAAAATACTGACCAACGATGACATTGGCTGTCAGTGGTCGCGCTAAAATCATAAATTGGTAGGAGTTAGAATTCATATGCTGGTCAGTGAGGTGTCGGATCTCAGTGGGTGAATGGTATACGAGGTAGACCTCCAACCGAATGATCCTGGGTTCAAATCCTGGCGTTAGGTATGTAGTCCGAATAAATCTTTAACCAGAAGGAGGAAACAGCTGACTTCCCAGTACTCCCAGCTGGTTTTCAATTCTTCACCAACTGACATCAATCAATTCGTAGTTAAACTTGAAAGACAACTCAAATCCTTACAAACAAATTCTTGCAAATATGTGATCGCTAAAAGTGAAACCTCAAATGTAGAAATACAATTAACAATGGTAGAAAGGTGAATTTTGTACTCATTGTTACATCCTTTCTTTCTTTAAAAAAATAATAAAATTAACAATCAACTTAAGTCAAATGATCTATCAATTTCCATTAATTGTTCTATTACTTCAGTATTTCATATATGAATACGCGTCTTCTGGTTACTATGACTACACAGAAAGGTTCACTAAAATTGGAAGTAATAATGCATGTAAGA